CAGTCCGACGCGAGAGCTCTTTTCATAAACGTAATGTGTTTTAATTTTAATTGCGTTTGCGTCGAAAATCAGTTAGATGTTTAATTTTAATTTCAATGATAGATTTCTTCAAGTTTCTGTAATCCTATTACCTATTGCGGTTGTAGGTGTCATGATGACCTGGGGCTGTGCCCTTTAACCTGTGAGGTTGGTTTTGGTTGACGACGGAAACAATTTTTTCCTATATTAACATTATTAACTCCTATTTCGTCATTCTTTATTAGGAAATCATAAACATACTGTGTTTCAATTCAAATTGGATTTGCGTCGAAAATCAATTAGATGCCTGATTTCAATTTCAATCATGGATTTCTTCAAGCTTCTGTAATCCCATTACCTACTGCGGTTGTAGGTGTCATGATGACGGGGGCCTGTTTCATAAAAATGAAGAGTTGATGAGCGACGAGTGAAGAGTGAAGAGTTGAGGAGTGACAAGTATATCTCGTTTTTGTTTCAAAATAAAATTGCGTCTACTCCTCATTATTCATGAAGAGTTGACGAGTATAGAATACAAAATAATAATAATCTCGCGTATTTCAGACCTATTTGAGCAGATTATTTGGTATCTATTTATATATTTTGAGCGCATTTTTTTTTTCGCAAAATATTTAAATAAATTAAACAAACTTTAATAGCCAAATTTATGTTTATTTTATTACTGTCTAAATAGAAACAAGGTAAAACACTTTTTGTATAGCTTCAGTACAGTGTACATCATTTAGAGTGTTGCGCACAACATGGAGAAAAAAATTTCATTTTTACAGAAATTGCGCGAGTATAAAGAGATACTGGATGGGAAATTTTCCGATAAGGTATCAAGTGAAAAAAAACAGCAAGCATGGGAAGAACTTTTACAATATGCCAAATCAATTGGGATGGTGTCCGAGAGTTGTACAAAAGAAAAGCTGAGAGACACAACTTGGGGAAATTGGAAAAGACGTGCCAAGGTAAGTGATTTTTATTTATCAAACATAAGGAGTTACCATTTTATTATAATACAATTATCATAATATAATCTTGTGAAAATGGGACATGCGTAACAGATTTTTTTCTAAATGCTATGTAAGGCTTCAATATATTATTTTTCGTTTTATTTTCAGGAAAAACTTGATAAAAGTCGGCAAACCGGAAGTGGAAAAGTGATTTTGACTGAACTGGATAATTTGGTTTTGGATATTTTGGGCAGAAATACTCCGGGGGTGATGGGCATGACAGGAGTGTCATCGGATAGTGAAGATACCGATGAAGATAAATGTAACAGTGTAGTACCTACAAATTCATCCAGCAGCAAGATCAATAAACGAAGAACCGCCAAAACCTACACCACAAAAAGAAGAAAGGGTGATAAATAGTAAGCCATCCTGTAGCAAGACTAATAATGTAGAAAAAAGATACGAAGGGCGGTAAAAATCCTCACCAGAAAAAAAAATAAAGTCAATTGACGATGAAATAAAGGCACTAGATAAACAAAAAAAAATCGCTCAAATCAAATTTCTCAATGCTTCAGCAGCTCTAGTTGATGCTCAAAAATATAAAAATCAGTTAGAATGCCTTGCTCTAGAAAGACAGCTTCAGTTGCCTTCTACTGCTTTAACGGATAATTTAATGACAGATTCCAGCTTGTCACAGGTGCCAGAGGAAATATCTTTTCCCGAAGAAGATGATAATTCAAATATTAACACTGTTGATGGTAAAATTTATAGAAATTTAAATTAAAAAGTAAATAAATCAAATTTATTATGCTCTCCCATATGTTAATAAAAAAAAAAAAAAATAATATAATGAATTTTGTAATAAATGTCTACTGTATGTTTGAGGTAAATTTATTATATTACCTTGCATTTTTTGGGACTTATACCTCAGTCCTCAATATTAGTTTTCACCAGAAGCGCGCATAAAAATCAGGAACACTTCGGTGAAAACTAATATTGAGGTGTAAGTCCCAAGAAATGCAAGATAATATAATATATAATACTTATAATATAATTAATTTTTATTTTTTTTTCCAATTTAAGAAATAAAGCCCCTGGGGGGTGTCGAAATATAAAATATGACCCTATTCATTATTAAGCCCCACCAAAATTGTATTGATTAGAACAATAAATTAAAACTTCCTATTTACATAAAATGTTGTATAATTTCCTGAAATCTGTTTTCAGCCATTTCTCTTCCAGCTTCATCGTTCCGGAACACAGCGTTATCGGGTTCAGGGAGGTTTTCGTCTGGTTCTTCATTTTCTGGAAATAGTTCTAGTCTTTCAATATCTTCTTGGCCTGTTCTAATGAAGTTGCATAGCGCAACGCAGCATTTGAATATTCTCGCTGCAAAAACCGGATTAACATGCAAGTGGTAAAGACATGGAAATTTTTCTTTCAAAATCCCAAAAGCGCATTCTATGACTCTTCGGGTTGACTTGTGACTTCTGAGAAATCTTTGTTGCGCTATATTTTCAGCGTCTGTTCTGGTCGGTCTGATTACAGGAGGTATTAGCCACCTTTTCAGAGGATATGCACTATCCCCAAGAAGAATTCCTCCTGGTAAAGGAATTCTTCCATTTTCAAATTCGTTGAACAAATTAGAGTTTCTGAGAACGCGGCTATCATGCGTAGATCCAGGCCAATGTGCATCAATAGCATAGAACTGCATATCAGCACCACATACAGCCATACAATTAATAGAATGATTCCCGTGTCTATCTACAAAGTCAGCTTCATTTTCTGTAGGAGCATCTATTTTTATCAATGTTCCATCCACTGCACCACACACCTTATAAAAAATTTCAAAAGATAATAACATTCCATTTTTATCACTGGAAATGATATTTAAAAAATGTACCTTTTAAATGATAAATAAATAAACCATTGAAATTACCTGTGGTATATTTGCTATGCCGTGAAATTTCTGGGCAACCAGATGCATGTTCTCTGGAAATTGGACGTGAGATGGATATATGCGTTTTAGTACAGCTTTTACGAATTTATGTATGCATCGATGCACCGTGGCAGCGGATACACCATGCATGTCTCCAACAGCATGGTATTGTACGCCTGTTCCAAGCCAATGAAGAGACACCTCCATAATTTGTTTTACTGTTAATCCTCCTCCTCTATTACTTTGCTCCAAGTCATTATTCAGAATCATTTCCAGGGAAGTAAATTTTTCTTCAGACATCCTGAATCTGGTGTTTGCATCAAAAGGTCTATTTTCCAACCACCCGTAGCTTTAAACAAATTTTAGGTATATTGTGCCAAATTGTAGGTATATATAGGTACCAAATGTCTTACCTTAGTCTCTCCCTATATAACTTCCTTTGTCTTTGTGGTACATTTTCTTCATCGGAAGAAGAATCACTGCTGAATAGTAGATTTTGCATTATAATATTATGATGTGCACTAAACGGATTTGAAATAGAAATGAGGGTCTTCGTAAACTCGTCAGTAAATCTTGACGAGTTGAGGAGTGAAGAGTGTTTATGAAATGAAATTAAAATTTTTTAAAACTATTCAACTCTTCACCTCGTAACTCTTCAACCCTTCACTCCTCAACTCTTCAAATTTTTTATGAAATGAAATGTAACATTATGCCGCTCCTCACTCCTTAACTCTTCAACTTTTCATTTTTATGAAACAGGCCCCTCTGGCGGTAGGTATCATGTCGACCTGGGTCCTTTAACCTGTGCCGTTGGTTTTGGTTGCCGACGGACATAATTTTCCCTATATTAACATTATTAACTCCTACTTCGTCATTGTTTATTAGGAAATCATAAACATACTGTGTTTTAATTCAAATTGGATTTGCGTCGAAAATCAATTAGATGTCTGATTTGAATTTCTATGTTAAATGTCTTCCCGCTTCTGTTATTCTATGAGAAGTTATAGGTATCGTGGTCCAGCAAAGTTCACTTCCAGGTGACCAGGGGCCTGTTTCATAAAAATGAAGAGTTGATGAGCGACGAGTGAAAAGTGAAGAGTTGAGGAGTGAAAAGTGAATGCCGATTTTGTTTGGAAATAAATTTGCGTGTACTCCTCAACTCTCCAAAACTTTTATGAAATGAAATATAACATTATGTCACTCCTCACTCCTCAACTCTTCAACCCTTCATTTTTATAAAATAGGCCCCTTGGGCGCATATTACTATACCGAGTGTTTTTCAAAACCCGCTTACCCCTATAACTTTTTTATTTTTACAAATAAACAAATGAAATTTGGTGTGTTTATTTATGACCCGGATGTGCAGTATTTGACGTATTCAATTATTTATTATTGTTGGATGCAAACTCGCACATGAGTTAAATGAAAGCCTTCGCACTTCCACTAAGTTATAACATATATTACCATTGATACATTTTACACTGGAAAGATACCCAGAAGGTAGAGCTTTCAAATAAGGTACGGAACCTGCATTTAAATTATACATGAAATAAAATTAGCTTGAGAAAATAAGGCACGACTAGCTCATGTCCTTACATCTTTCAAGACTTGACAATACTAGTAAAAATGTGAAGTTATCACGTCTGGTGCATTGTTTCACATGCCAACCCAATAGTTGGATGTTGTATCCAACATGCTGGGGGCCTTAGCATGACGTGAAGCCTTCATAGGCGCCGGAACTTCAAAATTACTATGGGGGCTCGGGCTCCAAAAAGACACAAGTAAAATTATACAAACAGGACCAGTAGGCTACTAGACACATAGGCTCAAATAGGACCAGTTGACTGCAGGGTCGTCACGCTGGATCATTGATGATCCGCCCTGCCTATTATTGAAATTCGTGAATCTTTGGCAGCTCGGCAATACTCGGCTTTGGCAGCACCGCTTGGATTCGCCTTAACCGGGTAGAAGCTAATTCGTCCTATTACCTAAATATGTGTCTAGTAGAATGATCCGGTCTGTATATAAATTCCATGATAGGTATACTAGCTGAAAAAAGCCAATGTATTCATGATATTTATATTCATGTGCTTGAACAAAATATCATAAAAAAAAACGAAAAGAATATAATGGTCGCGATCACCAGCTCTCAACAATGTTGAGTGCTGGTGAACGCGACCAATAATCCCAATCCGAGTTTTTGAAAATACAGCTTTAAATACTACACAACAAAATATTCAAATTCTTTGTTAAAGTAGTTATAGCAAAAACAACATAAACATAAAACACACAAATTTGACATAAAAATAATTAATTGGGAACTCAATATTTTTGTACAGGGTGATCTGGGTCACTCCCTCCTAACTTTATCAGTTGACGTTTTTGACAAAAGTGTCACATACAAAAGTTTCAAGAAATTGTCAAAAGTCTTTAACTAAGTCAGTATCAAGCATACAGGGTGCGTCAAAAAAGTGTAGCAGAGCGAAGTTATATTTTTTTCCCTTTCAAACTGATTTCAACGATATATGAGGCCTGTTCGAACAGCAATCACAAACAAGTCAGAGCGAATTTAATTGATTGAAAACAGTCAGAAACAGTCAGAAAATTAGTTCCAAATAAATTCAGTATTCAATGGTCTTAAGTTATTATTATTTAAAAAAATTAACATGAGACCTATGAAGAGGCTTTCGCGTTTTTCCCTATAACTATTGAAGATAAACATATCAAACCTCATATCGTTGAAATCAGGTTGAAGGGTACTAACAAATAAGTGCACAATATACATGGTGTTCCATTTAAAGAAATATAACTTCGCTCTGCTACACTTTTTTGACGCACCCTGTATGCTTAAAACTAACGTATGGTCTATTTTTTCCCAAGATAGATTTTGACATTGTCAACTTTGAAACATAAACAATACCTCTTGGCCCTGATTGGTCGCAAAATGAGGTGTCCCTGCAGGTTGACATCAGTTTTACAATGCATGCCGTGCAAATGGCATCTTGCGACCAATAAGCGGCCTTGTTTATGTTTCAAAGTTGACATTGTCAAAATCTATCTTGGGAAAAAATACACTGTAGTTAAAAGCTTTTGACAATTTCTTGAAGCTTTTGTATTTGACACTTCTCTCAAAAATGTCGAATCAAAAAGGTTAAGACCGGGTGACATTTATAATAGGTACTGTTTGTTTCACGAGGGTTTGTACTTTTGCCTTCCTTTTTTAAAAAAATAAAGATTGACTGAAACAAATTAATGACGTCAAAAACGTTCGTCGGTTCTTAAACCAGAAGTCATTCAATGCAATACAAAATCAACGCTAATGAATTTATATGAATCAATCTACGACAAACCATTTTTTCCAAGTTATGACATATCGATGTCATAAGTACATACCCTCGTGAAATGAACCTTGGATCACCCACTAAACTCACTACATACAATACCAAAATCACTATGGGGGCTCTGCCCCCATAGCAAATTCACTACGGGGGTTCATCCCCCATTGCTCCCATGGCGCCTATGGAAGCCTTACTTTTTTATATTTATGTAATTGTATAGCAAAATACTATAATGGCATAAAACAAAAAATATTATGTATTGGGTACCTACAATACATCTTTAGTTTCATAGATCTAACTCAAGCTTCAAAAGCTAGAAGCTAGTTCTTAAGTTTCACTAGAAAGTGACAAAACATGTGAATATTTTTACAGAAAACAAACTATAACTACCTACTACTAGTACTACTAACTAACTACAACCTTATTTCTATAACTACTAACTAACTACAACTTTATGTCTATAACTACCTAGTAACTACAG